CCCCAAAACCCCAAAACCCCAAAACCCCAAAACCCCTTTTCCATAATTTCAAATTGCCATTTAAATTTTTCAATAAAATGGTAAGAACAATAATCAAATTTTGAAATTAAGACATCATAGTATCAAGATTATCACTACAAAGAGAACCCAAGGACAGGATTCTTGCAGAGTAACGGTTCGTATGCTGCTAAGAAGCAGTTCCAAGAAAGGAATCAATTCTACACTTCAAGTGCATCAATATTTCCAACAGACCTTGATAACCAGAAGAGGTTTAACTCAGAATACAGAAAAAGGTTCTTTGAGCCTCAGCCTGGAGCTCAAGAACACAGACCTGACCGTAAGAAATCTAGATTCTGACCCTTATAGTGACTAACAAAGATGGAAACATTGCAAATCCATATCTCCAGAAGAGAAGAATGGGCAAGAAAATTATTAAGAACAATCCTGTATACCAGAAAGATACTGGGGGCAATGATCACACTACTCACAAGCCGATGAAACCGCTTGAGCAAGACTTCAAAAAGTCTGTAACTGAGAAGTTCAGCCAAGAGTTACAAGCTCAAGGGTATATGAAGCACTCGAATAAAATTCCTTCTCTGACTCCAAAGTACAGTCCAGGCAGGTATGATACTAGCGATGTTCCTCCTCCAGTTGACCAGGAGCAGAAGCCTTATAGAAGAGAGGCAGGCAGATCACTTGTCAAAGACAGTTACCAGAGCAATCAAAATACCAGCATGGAAGCAAGAAATATCAACAGAAGAATTGTTGAGAACAACATTGTTAGAAACAACTCAGTTGAGGTCCCAAGACCAAGTGAGACAACTCTTAGAGAGGACAGACTAGAAGCAAGCAATCGTTATCAAAACCCTGATGAAAACAGAGGTGATCATAGATTTGAAGATTTTTACCAAAATCCACCTCAAAAGCCGACTTTCATTGAGAAAACTGAAAATTATCAGAATACAGATAGATTCCAGCAAAATAATGAATGAGAAGAACTGGACCCTACCAGACAGGAAAGCAAGATGAATCAATTTTATCCTTCTCAGGAACAACTGCAGGGTCACCCCACTCAACGTGAAACTGAAGATGTTCTTCCTAGCCAAATGTATGGAAACAACCCTAACTCCCAAGTTGAACAGCCTCAAAAAAATAGCAGCATGGAGTTCATTCCGAAAGGAAATAAGATAAAATATGAAGCTCCTAAGATTCAAAAATCAGTTAATTTTAATGAAAACCAACTCAAAGATTACCAAGAACAGGTCTCAGAGACTCATTCAAGAGTAGGCAATAGAAGTCTCCAGGCCTATGAAGATGTTGGTAACCTCCTCTGTAACTTCTAGATAGAGAAAATGTAGAGCAAGAGAGATACTATGCGAGGCTTAGGAAGGCAACCATGAAACAGAACCAGATATTCAAACAGCACCTCAACAGAGTCTACATCCCCCAAAAGAAAGTAGAAAGTGTCCTGAACCAGAGAGAAGACAGTAAAATTCAGACTCTGAAAGCCCAAGCTAGCCAATATGAAAAATAACCAAAAAGACAATATCAAGACTATCCAAGGCGAGTACTCTGAATTCCTTAGTAACCAGATGAAGGAAAAGGAATATACCCAAAATATGTACGACCAGGAGAAGAGATCTCTGTATGAAAATATGAGAATCAAGCATCAAATTCAAGAACAAAAGGATAAGATGCAGAAAAGAGAGAGGATGGAAAGTCAGCTCGCTTACCGAAATGCCCTCCACGACCAACAGAGATATAGAAATGAGCATCCAGAATCTGCACTGAAAGTTACAGAAACTATGAAGAGGCCAAATGTTGCACCTCTGTTAGGAGAGCAGAGACATATGTCAAACCCAGAGGCTGACCATTATCCGAAGTCAACTAAAGGTAGCTCCCATGGATACCTCAACGATGACCCAAGAAGTGTTAATCAAGGTGAGTTTTCTCCTCAAAATATAGACCCAAGAGCTAACTACAAAGGACCCGATCCAATCCTGGCGCCTATTTCTGATCCACTCTATAACCCTTATGTGAGGAAAGAGATGACTGACTCTGGAAATGCTGCCAAGAAGAGGAACATCTACATCCCTCCGGACAGCATTGCTTTTTAGATTCAATTTAAAGAAAAAAATTGGGGTTTTGGGGTTTTGGGGTTTTGGGGTTTTGGGGTTTTGGGG